CTACAATACTACAGCGAGAATAAAAGTTATGCTTTCTTTCTTTGCGTGAACATTTGGGCGGCTTTATGCAAATCTTCCCACATAGTGAGGTAGGTATGTGGGGGCGTGTTCGAACGAGCCGTTTTAGGTAGGTGTGGCTAACTCTTAACTTTTATAAAGAATATCTCTTTGGATTTGAGACTTTAGTCTTTGCAACTTTACAGATCTTCTTTATGCACCAAGAGCTTGTAACACTCTAAAGAGAAAGGAAAAAATGAAATCGCATCATATGACCCCTTTAATAGTTTCCGAATGCACAGTAAATCGTATATATTGTTGTGTGGGAGTAACAGGAATCGAACAAATGACTTGATAGTCACTGTTTCCTGTATTAGTGCAGCTGTAGTATTTGGAGTTTTATTATTTTTGGACTTTTGGGTTTCAGATTTCAAACACAATTTCAAACCACATTATGAACTAAATTATCTTGTATTCAGTGCTGTCTTCAATTCCTGCTCAGAAGTCTCAGTAAACGTTGTTTGTGTATTTTGCAGGACTGCCAGATCCCTTCGCTAAGGTGGTGGTGGACGGTTCAGGGCAGTGCCACTCGACAGACACAGTGAGGAACACGCTGGACCCCAAATGGAACCAGCACTATGACCTGTAAGAGCTCTTCCTGGTCTGATTGCATTCAAACACAGCCAGTGGCACACCTTGATTCCCTTTGCACTGATGCCAGCTCAGTTTAAACCTGAGACAATAATCTTCAGATAGCAGAATCAAGAAGACCACCACTCAGAAGCAGATCTCATTTCCAAGCACATGGTCATCTGTCCACTTGTTTGAGTCTTAGAGATTTGGCTTCCAGCGCTGCAGCTCTTTTCTGTAGGGGCTTAAGAGTGTCAGACTCTGTCATTAGATGCCTCATGTGTGGTTCATTTCGGCCCTTTTTCTGCGTGAGTCACCCAGAGCGATTGAGCCTGTTTTTGACATCACATTTAAGTGTGCTTATGGATTATGCTTTACTTGCAACTGGGTTTAAAACAAAACAACAACAAAAATGAAAGAAAACAAACAAATCAAGCCAGTATGATTCCATAATATGGAATATTCAAACATTACAGAATATTCTGCCATTATATTATTGCCATGGTCTTTCAAATCTGTATATTGTTTTCTGCTGTGAAAAAAATGATATTTTGGAGAATGTTTTTCCATACAATAAAAGTGGATCCTTATTTTATTTTATTTTATTTCATTTCATCTCATTTCATCTGCCAAGCAACAGAAAAGAAAAAACACACTATAGAAGTTGTTCATGCAACTTGTGTAAAGTATTTCAAGTCTTCTGAAACTAAACGTTAGCTAACTGTAAGAAAAAACAAAATTGATTCATTTCATCCTCCCCTAACCTCAACATCTCTTTTGCATTTCTGTATATTATGCATGTCACACTCAGGAACCAATGTCACGAACCGTATGTTTGAATTTACGCAATTCAGATTTGAATTCTGCGATGGTGGGGAAAATCGCCAACAAACATAGTTTGTGTTGACCACTTTTATGGTGCGTTTTTTTCCCTCGTTTAAGCTCAACATTAAAATGTCCAATTTATTGTATGGAATTTTTTTTTTCTAAAAATCTTTCATTTCTGTTCAAAATTACGTGTTCATCCAAAGAAAGAAAATCATGAATGGCATGACGGTGTGTAAACAATGCTAAAATTAAAATTTGTGGGTGAACAAACCCATTAACATGCACTTTCAAATAAGCCCAGGGGTTTTTCTTGAACCGGCGGTGTACGATTTCTTCCAATCTCTTCATCAGTGTAGCCCATCAGTAAAGCTCCCAGCATCCTTCAGGCTTTGAGGAAATTAGGTCACCTCCTCTGGAGTCGACGGCTTTATCTGTGGAGATCACAGGACGGATTTCCATGGGTGCAAAATCCCATAACCTTTCGTTATACCGTACGCTTCTAGCTCTATTTACATTTTTTAAGAGGTTTTATCTCCAACTATGAGTATCAACAGTTTCACAGCATGGAATAAAAATAGAAACTATCCCTCCACACAGGCTTGTCGCTTTTCCCACAGACCAAAAGCAAAACTTAAGAGAAGATGCAAAGCACTAAAAACCGACATGCAAGGAAAGGCCGGCAAACAAAAAAGAAGGGGAGCAGATTTCCAATACTTGTCCCGTTCTCATGTCGTGCTGACAGTCGCAGCTAGAGGAAGCACACGTCTCTGTTTGTTTGGTTGCCAGGGCAACCGTAGACTAGCCCTCACCCCCCAGGAAGGCCTTCGAGTTCGCCAAACATGTCACGTCTGTCAGCGGAAAATAGGCCGCCGTTTCCGCAGCCCACCCCGAAACCCGGAATAATGGGTGGGGAAGAGAAAACCAAGGAGATGTTGCTTAAATCTTACATCTGAAATACTGAGGGATTTCTGTTCGCCATCTTGAACTCAAGTTATAAGTTAGTAAATCTGTGATTCCCGTAATGCACATCACAGTTGTCTCTTTGTTGGCAGGGAAAACAGTTGAAATGTTGCCATTGTTATTGAGCTGTTTGGTAGTTTTGTTATTTTCGTTGAATGTCAGGACCAGAAGAATGTCAGAATCATTCAGTGATGAAAGATTGACAGGTCTAAAAACCTCCCAGGGCTGCATGTTGAACTGGAAGATAACTGCTAATGTGTGTAATGAAGAATAGCACCAAAAAAAAGCCAGCAGAGATTAACATTTATATTTTATATTCATGCATTTAGCAGACGCTTCTATCCAGAGCGACTTGCGATAGAGGAATAAGTAATAAGGTTAAAACATAAACCTAGATGTGAGGAGACTTAAAAAACGAAAGCGGGAGAAAGATGCGCTAGATATTTAGGTCAGAACATCAGTTTTGGGAGATGTTTTCTGTAGAAATTGATTAAAAGTAAGGCAAAAGAAACAGACTTTAGGAAATGTAGACTTGTAAAGGGAACAATGCACAAACACAATGCTAAACTATTGAATGAAGTGAGCTCCAAGCTTGACTAGTTCTTAAATCCTGGTTAGTTAGGTGACCTGCTCTAATATTATATCTAATGCTTTGTTTGTGTATAAAGGTTGTATCTCTTCATATAAATCTATGTGTCCTGTTAAAATCAGTTTGTGATGGGTGGTTATAGCCGCCAAAGTAGTATTAGTAAATTTTCAAACCAATTTTTTTTAAATGATCTTTATTTTGTTGTTTGTTTGTTTTCTGGTTAAAGGTCAATGTTGTATAACTGTCTTGAAGTGGGGAAAATATAGAAATTAAGTAGCCATAATTAAGTAGCAAAATTAGTAGTAGCTATAAGTAGCCATAATCTTGTATCCTTATTTATTGTATTCTTACTTGAGTAGAGTGGTTTTACTTTAAACTATTAATAATGCAAAAAAAAAACATTGACTCTTTAAAGAAACAAGATTTTAACATTATTTTTTTGTTGGATACCTGGCCATATGGGATTGGTCGGCAATGATCAGGCAGATAAAGTGGCTAAGGAAGCTCCTAAGGAAGCAGTATTTCTGATGGATCATGTGACAGTGGAGACTGGAGTAATGGCTGATAAAAATTCAGCACTGCATCACAGAAATAAGTTATATTTTAAAGTATATTAAAATAAGAAACCAATATTAGAAATTGCAATAATATTTCACAATATTACTAATTGTATTAATTTTTAATATTAATAATTTTCACAATATTGTTTTTCTGTATTTTTGATCAAATAAATACAGCCTTAATGAGCATAAGAGACTCCATTAAAAAAAAAAAAAAACTTTAAAAATCTTAGTGATCCCAAACTTTTTAACAGCAGTGTATGTATGTGTGTGTCTTTAGTTGAGGTTTATGTTCACATATCTTTTTACTTGAGTATTTCGGTATGTTTTCAGACACGTTAAATTAAGAATTTTGGTTAAAAGTGTTTTTCAAAATGAATTCAAAGATTACATTTGTATAAGCTTGCCACATATGCTTTGAATTAGATTTTAAATAAAAATATTGTCATTGTATTTGTTATTACCACATTTACAGAGTTAAAGGTGGGGTAAATGATTTCTGGTAGCCAATGTTGATATTTCAAATCACCAAAACAAACACGCCTCTACCCCAAAAGGGTCTCGCCCCTATTTTGATAGCTCCACCCCACACATACATGCGCAACCCAGGCAACGATTATGGTGGAATCTGCTGTATTATTATCTGCTGTATTAAACATATTATCTTACTTTTCGAACACACTTTGGGAGCTGATGCTTGAAACAGACAGTGGAGGAGTTTAGACGCTCCAGGCTTATAGAGTGTGGAAATGAATGTGTCTATCATAGCTAAAGGGAACGACAATACAATTGCAGATGAACAAACAAGCGAACATGACACACGAGCATATTCAAGCAAAACCAATGTTACTCGCCTATCGAGAAGAAACAAAGCAACCTCGGCGTCCGATCGCAGGTCTTCCCGCTCCTTGAGTTCTCTCCAGCGCTGGAAAGCTGATCCGAAATTTACAAGGGTCCTACTACTTGCCTTATCGTAAGCCTTCTTTTGTTCCACAGACGGTTTCTTCTTTTGTTTTTTTTTATCCGCCATCTCTATCTTTCTGTCGCTCGACTCGGCTAATGTCCGTCCTGTGCACTGAGCGCTCTCTCCTCTGCATCATGAGTAGACACGCCCCTTACTGCTGATTGGCTACAAGTTTGTTTTGGTACCCGGCCCGACTCAGTTTTCTAAAGCGTTTTTAAAAAAAAAATACATACCCCACCTTTAAGGTTGTTGGAGTTTCCTGGGAAAGTTCAGAAACAATCAGTGAGGTTTGATGAAGGGTTATCAGAGAAACCTAAAATGCACTAAACCGTAATTATCTGTGGTTAAGTGTTGACAGCGCAGGTTTCGGTTTATTGTTTTACCTTTTGTTTTGTACTGTCATCCTTTGGTCTGGTTGGGTAACTTGTTGCTACAAGCTCTTGTCTGGTATAAGTCAAATTTGTATATAAGTATTGTGTATAAAGGCTGTTATGAGCTCAGACTTCAGAGCTGTTTTTTGGCTCTGTAGACGGTTGATAAACGTTCTCCAGATCAGAGAGAAGAACTCTGATTGTTTGGATTTTGTTGGACTCATTCTGGTGAGAACATCCACACAGTCATTGGCGTTCTGTCTTCTTGTTTCTTTCATCCTACCCCTTTTTCTGCCCTTTCTCTCTTCACTCCTCTACCTCTTCGATTGGTTTTCAGTCCAAACAAGGTCTGTTGCCCAGGGATTCTGTCCCATTGGCAGGCTGACAGAACGTTCAGACTTTGCTTGGACATTTTTTGACAGCCTAGCTCCGTTTGATGTCCAGTTCTGGAGGTGTTTCTGTTCCCCCGAATTTAAGGGAATCATTTGTTTTGTCTAACGCCATGCCAGAACATTCAGACAAACCAGCTGAGCTTCATGTCGGACTTGATGAAATGCATGCGGCGGTGAGAGAACAAGAGAGCTGCATGGGATCGCTTGAAGTTCTTGAGCTTCTTCGTTAGTTTTGCTGAAGGCATGAGAAGATTTGAGGTGTTTTTACCTCAAAAGGACCAAACAAAATTATGCAAAGACGTCAATGAAGTGAAAACGATCCCAGTTCTCTCTGCACTCTTACTTCTTCCTGTTCTTCATATGGTTTTCAACTTCATCTACTTCCTTTGTCACCTTCTTTGTCTTCACAATCTTATTCCTTGTCATTGTCGCCCTCTTCCTCGCCACCTTCTTCATTGATTTCTATCTACTTTGACATCTTGCACTTTTATTATCTTCATCTTCTTCCTCTTTGTAGTCTTCTTTTGATTGGCGTCTTTTTCCTCTTCATCATCTTTTCCCTCTTGCTCTTCTTCATTTTCATCTACTTCCTCCTCCTGTCATCATCTCGCTTTTCTTTTTAATCTTTCTCTGTTGCTTTTTCATTGTCTTCATCTTTTTCGTTCTTCTTCCTCATCTTCATCTACTTCCTGTACCTCTTCATCTACCTTTTGTCATTTTTCGTCTTCCTCTTCCATGTCTTCTTCCTCGCCTTTTTCTCTTCTACTTCCTTTTCCTCATCTCTGTCATTTTTACTTACTTTGTCATCTTCCACTTTTTCTTTGTTGTCATTTAATTTACTCTATTCTCTAATTTACTCTATTATCTTTGTCATCTTGGTCTTCTTCCTCATCTTCTTCCTCTAAGTCTGCCATCTTTCTCTTTTTTTCCCCCCTCATCTTTGTTGTCTTTCTCTTCATCTTCTGGCTTTTCCTGTTCTCCCCCGTTACTTCCTCTTTGTTGCCATCTTGCGCTTCTTTGTCATCTTTCTCTTCTTCTCTTCCTATTCCTCTTCAGTATTTATTTTTCTTCTTATACTGACGAGTTATTCGTCTTCATAATTATCTTCAGTGTTTTTGTCTTCCTTTTTATCCTCTGTCATTTTTCTGACATCATCTTCACCATCTTCTTTTTTTTTTTTTTATGAAATCCTCATTGCAAAACAGATCTTCTCCTCTGAGCCGCTGTATGTAATCATGTTTCATAATTCATGTTTTAAGCAAGAACCATGGGCTGTCGAGACTGATATGGTCTGAGTCTGGTTTGCTTTTAAAGGAGACATGATTGAAAATGTCGAAATCTGACGTCTCTTGTTATGTCTTCAGGTATATCGGGAAGTCGGACTCCATCACTATCAGTGTGTGGAACCATAAAAAGATCCATAAGAAACAGGGAGCGGGATTCCTGGGATGTGTACGGCTCCTCTCCAACTCCATTAACCGACTCAAGGACACAGGCTGTAAGTGTGTGTGTGTGTATGATTGGCTCAGAAACAGTCTGTTAGTGTGTGTGTATAATTAGCTCAGACAACATCGGTTTAATGTGTGCGTGTGTGAGTGTGTGTAAAACTGGCTCAGGCAGATTTCAAGTGTACTTTTGTGTGTGTATAATTGGCTCAGTATGTACTACAATGGCTGTGTGTGTTAAGTGGGCAAACTTTAAATAAAACACACAACAACAATGTTTTTGGACAAAATAATATATCTTACTTTGGCTGAAGACCACTGTCTGTCTCAGGTAGAAGACGTCCTGTTATTTGTGTGTCACTTTCCTGTCGGCTGCACAAGAACCTGTGTTTTTTGCTGGTGGACTACGGTAAGTCAGTATGTTTAGGGTACGAGTCTGTCTGGCTGCGTTCCAGCCCCACGCTTGTGTTTAAGACAATTTTAAAAGCAGGCTTTCCCTAGAAACCCTCCAGCGTGACCACTGTCCTGGATAAGCACAGGAAACCCACAGCTGGAAGTGATTCAGTTCACCATTTCCTGTTGCACCCCTTCTGTCTCTCCGCTATCATTCTTTCTCTGTCTTTTCTCATTCTCACTCTTTATCTGTCTCCAGTTCAGTCTGTCAGTAATAATCACGGTCTTAAGTAGGAAATGATTATTTAATAGAAATTATTTTGTTCTTAGATTTTTTTTAGTTAATATAAATTCACAGAAATATCACATCTTGCTTTTCCGATTCATTTTCATCTGTTTCCTCTTCCTATTTGTCACGATCTTCCTCAGCTTCTTCCTCTTTTTCTTTTTCTTGCTCTATATAGAAATATACATTTCTATGTATTTCTATATATATTTGTGAAATACTATTACAATTTCTATTTTAATATATTATAAAATGTTTTTTTTTTTCAAGTTGAAGATAGATTTCTGAGAGCCGTGTGTGAAGTATTTGGAGTGTAACTTTTTTGTTGTTACAATTACAGTAACTTTACAAAAATGTATAGTTTTTGACTATATCATAATATGGTCTGGTTAATTATTATTTTTATTTTTTAAAAAACATTTTGTAATCATTTTTGAATTGCCATTGTTCCCTATCAGTGTATCCCTAGTCTTTAGTAAAAGTTACATTCAGCCATAAAACCATCGTCATCATTCTTCGCAGGTGTTTGACCATATGAAGGAGTTTAAATGTGAGTGGAGTGTGTTAGGATGGGTGAACGCTCCTCCAGCCTTGTTTAGTCTAGCTGTGCATCCTGATCTGACTGAGTGTGTGTGTGTGTGTGTGTGTGTGTGTGTATGTGAGTGTGAGAACAGATAGGGGCCTCTCTAATGTCTGTAGGCTACTTGTTATTCCTGTCTCCCTCTTTCCGGCAATGACAGAGAGCCCCAGCGTGTTTCTGGAAGCGTCTCACTCCTATCAGCACATCTACAGTCTGAGAGGAATAAAGCAGCCTCTGTGTGTACACACACACACACACACACACACACACTGATACAGAGCGCTGCAGTGTATGTGACCTCACACATGAAATGTGGAGCGTTTTAGGCTGTTTTTTAAGTCTCGGATGGTTCGCCGAGCGAGGAGGTCAGAGGTTATGACACAAATGCCACGCAGGCTCTTTGGTTTCTCAACCTTTTTCTTTTTCCTGACACTCTTTTTTTTTTCTCTCTTTCATTCATTTATAGATCAGCGTTTGGACCTGAACAAGTTGGGGCCCAATGACAGCGATACCGTGAGGGGACAGATAGTAGGTGAGTCACAAGCTTTGCTCGTTTGGAGGAATTGACCTGTCAGGAATTTGCCACATCTGCCATTTATCCCGTGAGTCACACCATCTTCAAAGCTTGTCGTTAATGATGGTTAAACCCACGCATTTACTTTCGACGCCCTAAAAACGTCCCTGGTTTGGGAGCAAAGGAGGAAAAACGTGCTCATTCTGTCTGATTTATCTGTTGCGTTTCGTTATTCCGTTGTGATTTTCTTTCATGCTCTCGAAGAGCCGCATTGTTCCTTCATCAAGAAAGGGTTTTGTGGGGTGGTGATGTATTTGCGCCCCGGGATGCACGTCCCATGGCCACACCACAGTTTTTACAAGCAGCCATTCATCAGAAGATGAATGCTTTCCCATGGCCGAGAGTTTCAAACAACCCTCTTATATGCCTGTATGTCTTCATGTCAACGTCAAGATTTGCGTCACATATGCGTTTTGATGAGTCGCATGAATGTAAGCAAGTAGTTATTAACCCCAACCCTAAGGCAAGCTTTACTATTACTATAGCTTATACTAAACGCTTAGAACAAACTCCTAACCCTAAATATATATATCTTATTGCACACTATTTGTATAAAAATATGGTATATTTGTGTCTGCCAATATTATAATAATAATTATTATCATTATTATTATTATTATTATTTAAATTGAACATTTTTTTAAACAATTTATTTTATTTTTTTATTTATAATTCATTAAAAATGCAGTATCTTTGATAATAAAGATAACAATATGGGTTGGGTTTTTTAATTGATCTTTTTTTAAATGCATTAATTTATTAAATGCATACTTTTTTTATTGTTTTTTTTAAATGCATGATCTATATCGGTTTCTGCAATTTTTTTCCCAGTTCTTTTAGAATTACTTTTTTTCTATTTAAAATGTATTATTTATTAAAAATACAGTATCTGTATCTGACAATATGGGTTGAGTTTTTTACTTTTTTAAATGCATTATTTTTTAAATCATTTTTTAATGCATGCAAATATTGTTATTTATTTATTTATTTTTACCATTTTTTTAAATCACTTTTTCTCTTTAAAATGGATCATTTATAAAAAATGCAGTATCTGTATCTGACAATATGGGTTGGGCTTTTTTAATTGATCTTTTTTTAATGCATTATTTTATTAAAGGCATACATTTTTACATTAATTTTTTAAATGCATGATCCATATTTGTATTTGCAAATACTGTTTTTTTTTTAAACCAGTTTTTTTAAATCACTTTTTTTCTATTTAAAATTGATAATTTATTAAAAATGCAGGATCTGTATCTGACAATATGGCAATATTTCAATGCGTGATCTATATCTGTATTTGCCAATATACTTTTTTGATCCCTTTTTAAAAACATTTTTTAATTGATAAATTCTAAAACCGTCTCGATTGGTGTCCTGTATATGTGTTTTTTTTAAATTGATCGGTTTTCAAATTGACTATTAGTATCTAATAAAATAACAACATTCCAACATTTTAAAAAATGTAGGATTCATTTAAAAAACACATACATACATACATACACCCCAAAACGGCAATATCTATGCTATGCGTGTCACTCATCTTGGCATTGCTGTCACATTGTCTCTGTCAATCCATGACACACGAAACTATCACAGATGGGACTCATCTAACAGCCTGTTTATGTGTGTGTGTGTCAACAGTTAGTCTTCAGTCCAGGGACAGGATAGGCACCGGAGGGCCAGTCGTGGACTGCAGTCGTCTGTTTGACAACGACCTGCCTGATGGGTACGTGAAATAACTCTTTAAAAGCAACTAAATGAGTGCAGTGATAAAAGCTAAAAAGATAAAACAGTGTTTAGCATTAGCAGATACTGAACAGTAGCAGCCAGCGTTCTTATCCAACCCCTGTGTTTGTTCCTGTGCCATGTGCCTGTGTCTGTCTGTCTGTTCGTCTGTATGAATGTCTCTTTGTGTTCTTTCTGCAGCTGGGAGGAGAGGAGAACTGCATCTGGTCGGATCCAGTATCTGAATCATATCACACGCAGCACCCAATGGGAGAGACCTACCAGGTGGGGCCAGGTTTCCTTTGTTGTAGTCCTAGTTCACTTTTTATTTATTTCTTATTATCTATTTTATTTTCTTGTTTTTTTTTATTTTACTTTTTTTTTTTTTTTTTTTTAATAACATTTTTCTTTGTAGTTTTTTATTTATTATTTTTTATTTGTTTTATTTTGATTTTACTTTTGATTTATTTTTCTTTTTATTTAATTGTTTTCTAATTTTATTTAGTTATTTATTTTTGTTTTACTTTTTATGTTTTATTTTTAATTTTTTAGTTTGGTTAACCAAATGGTTTTGCAGACTGAAGCAAAGTCTTGTGGGATAAAGGCATTTTGGCTTACCCCAAATTACTGTCCAGGTCATTGCGTTTGAGGTGGTTTTGCTGAATAGGACAGTGATTCTTGTCTATGAGTGTGTACCCGTGTGCCGCACAACAGGAAAATGTGCGTCGGCCACATCTGTCTTCTTTGCCATCTCAGACACTGACCCAAATGTATCCAGAATACAGCTGAAAGATATACAGCAGCGTCTGGAGCATCCCCACTTCATAAATTTTTAAGGAAACACTCAACCATACAGACCAAGAAACATTCCAGGCAACATTCCAAGACGAAGATCTAGAAAAAACGCTGGTCTGGACTGCGTTTCCCAAACGCTTTGGTCTCTACGATCTACTTATGCTTACGATGCATTTGGGAAACTCAGCCCAGGACAGCGTCTCCAACATAAATGAATTTAGCTCAAATAATAGGAGACGTGTGAAAATATTTTTTCATTAAGTGTATTTAGGGTGCATAATAGGGGTTGAACGATTCAGATCAGATCAGATTTTTCTAAGTCGACATTTATGTGATAAAAGTAGAGTCGACGTCAACAAGTTGCTGATGACGTCATTAATGAACAAATAAGCCTGAAGCTTGAGCTGAGACTCGAACACCTTGTGCACAGCTATGGCATGTGACACAGCGCTGCCCACAGGGCTATTGCTCCTATAACAGCTCATTTTTATCAGTTCTTTTGTCTTTGGGTCGTTATATTTCTCACAGATTTCTGCTCGTTCTAAATCAGATACAGATAAAGTAGCACAGTAAAGATTACATTCATATGAATGTGAGAGCGATTGCGTGTGTGAATGAATTCTACCTGGCAGCGTCTCTCTACTAGTAGTGAAGCTGTGCGTTTTAGTTACTAAAAAAATGCTATAACTTTTCAGTTTCTGAGCTATATTATTGAGAAATCACAGAAGAGGGTTGACAATACATTTCCGCTCTGCGCTACTGAATGATTCTGTGTGCGCGATGTGTGCGTGATGTACGAGCTACTGTCTGTAGCCTATGTGTGTGCATTACAATGCAGCAGGGCATTAGATTAGAACGGCGATTAACTTCCCTGTACAATAAACTGTTTAAAACGTGCATTCTCCCGTTCAGTGTTGAGCATCCAGATGGTATTATCACACGTCTTGTGGAGCGCTTTTGGAGCATGCATTTATTTGTCATTTTAACTGTTTAAAATCGTAGCGTAAATGTGGACTTCAAAGATTTCTATATCAAGCTTAAAGGGGTCATCAGATGCCCATTTTCCACAAGTTGGTATGATTCTTTAGGGTTTTAATGAAAAGTCTATAACATACTTAAAATGTAAATGAGCTCTGCTCGCCCCGCCCCTCTCTTCCGTGGGGTGATGAGCCGTTCTCTGAGACGATAAACTTTAGCTGCATTCATCGTGAAACTTGCTAACTAGCACATTATTAGGAAAGGCAGTTTGCAAAGACTGTTCATTAAAAAAAAACGTATATACTCACTTCTTCTGGAGGTGAAGCTGGATCACGAATGATTCATGCGAAGATAACCGCATTTAGGTAGATCGGGGGCGCATTCCCTTCAAAAACAAAAGTAATCCACTGCGTCTTCAGCGGTTCAGATGTCATGAGTAAATGACGACAGCTATGTTGATTATTACCTCCAACAACAAAACACCTCAATCGCTTAGGAGACATTCTTGTCTACATCTGCTCCGGCGTCAAACAATGGCGGACTGATGACAGCTCACTCAGGGCGAGTCTAAGGTAAAACGCTAGTGTCAATCAACAATCGTGGGAGGGGCCTGGGTCTGTTTGACGTCACACAGCTAAGAATCTGAGAACTGCTTGATTTGAGAAAGGGGATATTATTTATAGGGATTAAAAAAAAACACTGGGTGGATTTTTATCATTATAGGGAGGTTGAGTACACACACTGCCAACACATATTTATGTTCAAACAACATGTAAAAGTGAATTTTGCATCCGATGACCCCTTTAAAGCATCATGGCAGAGCATTAAAGTAGACCAATCGATTAGTCGACTAGTTGGTGCAACTGTCCTCTATTTTATTCCAAAAACACCCATTTACTCTTTTGTTTCTACTCTACAGCCTCTATTTTTCTAGTCTTTCCTCTAGACTGGGGGGATTTGGTTCAGTTCAGCCATAAGCACGTTAGTGAGGTTAAATGTCGACACTGGGCGACTAGTCCTAGTGTGCAGCACGCATTACAATTCACAGCCACTGAAGCTCTTGAAACACCATTTTGGTTCTGACGTTGCTTCCAAAGGCTCGGATGTGTTGAAACGGAGTGGAACAGAGGGAATATTGAAAGCGAGTACAGGCTGTGTTTATGCGCTACATGATTCAGCACTCTGTCCTCGTTCGGTGAGCTCGTGTTGCCAGCCACTTCACGACTGAGCTGCTGTTGCACTTAGATGTTTCCACTTCACAATAACAGCACTTACGGTCGACCTGGGCAGCTGGAGCTGGACAGAAATTCACTCCCTTGTTTGGAGAGGTTGCAGGTCTGCGACTTTGTCACGTTGAAAGTCACTCGGCTCCTCGCGGCGCTGCTTGCCAGTGTTTGTCTACGGAGACCGCAGGGCGCTGACACCGTTACATTATTCATTTAGTTTCCTAAGCAGCTGTACATTTTGTACTACTGAGATTTGAACCTCACACCAAAAGGTCACACTATTGTGTGCTTGGGTTTCCACAGCTAATACCCGTTTGTATTGTTTTAATATGAATCTGTAACCCAGCAGAGCAACCAAATTGTTACATGAGCCTACTGAAACAACAGCATAAACCAGCCTAAAGGCCCGTTCACACCAAGGACAATAACTATAAAGATAACGATAAAGATACAGTTCTAAAAATCGTTCTCAATATTAAAGAATAGCAGAGTCCATACTACAACTATAACGATAAAGACAAAGAGAAACGATATCGTTGGAATCACTTTCAAAACGATTTTTTTCCAGCTGATGAACGATAAAAAACTGACAGCCAATCAGAATCCATCCTGCTGTAACGAGCTCGAGAATTTAAAGCGGCAGACGCGTGTGCGCTTAGAATAAACAGACGATATCGTTCGCTGGTGTGGACGCTAATATCGTTATCTTTATAGTTATCTTTAGTTATTGTTCTTGGTGTGAACGGGGCTTAAGACGTTTTGCTGGTCTTAATCTGGTCGTTTGCCTGGTTTTAGAAGGATATTCAGGCATTTTTCAGCTGGTTAAGCTGGGTGACCCATTGTAATGAATCATCCACTGAAGGCGAGCGTAAGTGAGAACCCAAGTGCTATTTTATTTACAGCTGATATCCAAACAAGAAACACAGACTTGACTTGAACAGACATAGCATGAGCAGACTTGACATAAACAGACTAGACTCACCAACAGCGGGTTAAATACATACAATACACGACGAGGGCACAATGGGAACATGAAGCTACTTATAGGAAACAAGAGGGTCACATGACAAGAACAAACCAATGGGAAACAAGACACATGACTAAGACAACCAATCAGAACATGACACAATGAACAGGGGAACCAATGGCATGAATACATTAGGGCAAGGGAAGCATGACACAAACAGGGACCATGAAACAATTACAAAATAAAAGACATGGAAAACATGAACATGAAACAAAACACCACATTACACCGATTCAAATTAGCTTTATTTATTTATGTTTTATTTCTATTTTTATTTTTTTTATTTTTTTTTGCTTTTTATTATGATTTTACTTTTATGTTTTACTTCTGTTTTTATTTTATTATGTTTTTAATTTTTTTATTATGATTTTACTTTTTATATTTTATTTATTTTTATTTAAAAAATTAATTATTTTATTCATTTTTACTTTTTTATTTTTCGTTTATTTTAATTTATTGTAAGTTTATTTTTTGTTTTTGTTTTACTTTATACAATTTTCTTTTTTATAAATATTTTTGTATTTTTGTTAGAGGTGCAAATGGTTTGCAAACTAAAATAAAGTCTTGTAGGATGTAGGAGGATCAAGGTATTTTGGCTTGCCTAAATTACTTTCCAGGCCATTGGGTTTGGCGTAGTTTTGTTGAATAGGACAGACTAGCCTAAAATGGCTTCATGTCTGATCTGTTGGCTGGGTTTAAAGGGATTTTTAATTTTTTTAGTTTGTCAAGCTAATCACCAACTTAGCCACTCTTTCTGGGAGACCATTTTAAACCAGTTAAGATCAGCAAACTAACTTTTGGCTGGTTTAATTTTAAATTATTTTTTTTTTGCCAGCAAAGTCCAAACCATGTAGATAGGACCATGTAAATAGACTTAATTTTGTAATTTCAGAAAAAAACTCAATCTGGAAACTAGAAGGTGTTTTCAAGAACTAAGATGTTTCATCGTTCCAATATTTATGATAATATTTATTTTAAAAATGCAATGTAATCTTTGGTTTCAATTTCACATTTACATTTTACTTACACATTTATCACACACTTTTATTCAAGGGACTCAAAACTTTGCATTCAAAACTTTGCCTGGGAATCGAACCCATGACCTTAATGTTGCTAGCGCCAAACATTTCAACTATTTTAATGTAGTCTGTTGTCCCTCATGCTCTCATTTCCTCTTTCACACGCACAGGCCTGCGTCTGAGTACTCGAGCCCCGGCCGGCCGCTCAGCTGCCTGGTGGATGAGAACACGCCCATCATGACGCCCAACGGGGCAGCGGGCGTACCTGCGGATGATCCCCGGGTGCAGGAGCGGAGGGTTCGCTCTCAGAGACACAGAAACTACATGAGCAGGACTCACCTACACACACCGCCCGACCTGCCTGAGGGATACGGTTCGTTCAAACACACACATACACATCAGTTCTTCCATTAATACTGGCCAGCTTGCAAAGGTCAAAAATGCACCCTGCGCACACACACACATATGCACTTGCACTGGAAATTTGTGCTGCAGCAGGAGTAATTAAAATGTCTCTTGAGCTGTAGAAAAGGAGCTCGTCTGAAAAATCTCAGACGTGCCGTCAGCGCCAGCTGCAGGGTCAGACGGGTGACCTGGAAATCCCACTATGTCTGTGTGCGTGTGTGTGTGAGAGTCCGTGGAGAGATTCAGAGGACAGAGGTTATAGACACAGGTTAAACAGAGTTCTGTGTGCTGTCCTCTGCTCAAGTAGCTGAATGTGGGTCTGTAGACATGAGATGCAGGTCAAGTTCATGTGTGGAACAGGGACTTTATGAGATGGGCTGGGTGATATATCAGTATACATAAAAAAATAAATAAACAAATTCACTGTCAATAATAAACTTTCAAGTATTTTTCTGATATTTAACCCACATCTTGATGATCTGGTTTGTTGTGAGTGGCTAAAAAATTTCGGCTAACACTTTAGTTTAGGGACCGATTCTCACTATTAACTAGTTGCTTATTAGCATGCCTATTATTAACATATTGGCTGTTTATTAGTACTTATAAAGCAGATATTCTGCATGACCATATTCTACAACTCTAATCCTACCCAATGCCTAAACTTAACAACTACCTTACTAACTATTAATAAGCAGCAATTAGGAGTTTATTGTCGTATTTAGTGAGAACTGGACTTTAAAATAAAGTGCGACCAAATTTAATCTACGGTATTGTTTATTAGTATTGTTAGTATTGTATTGTTCACCATTTTACCATTTGTGACCCTGGACCACAAAACCAGTCATAAGGGTAAATTTTTTGAAATTGAGATTTATACACCATCTCAAAGCTGAATAAATAAGCTTTCCATTGATGTATGGTTTGTTAGGATAGGACCATATTTGGCCGAGATACAACTATTTGAAAATCTGGAATCTACGGTAGGACATTTACAAAATATCTTCATGGAACATGATCTTTACTTAATATCCTAATGATTTTTGGCATAAAAGAAAAATCAATCATTTTGACCCATACAATGTATTTTTGGCTATTGCTACAAATATACCCCAGCGACTTAAGACTGCTTTTGTGCTCCAGGGTCACATATTATTTGGTAAAACTATCTGAAAATACACAGAAATACAAAGATCTTCAGAACAAACCACTGAATTAAAAGCTTGGTTTAACTTTAGTCACTGACAAAACTATATTACTATTATATAGTAGTAGAATGAACTTTTTAATGTAATAATAATATATGTAGTGTTTTAATAAATTGCATTATTATTTTTTAAGGATTATCATGCAACCAAGATATTTTTTCATCCATGTTTTAATTTATACAGTATATAATTGTCAATAAAAATGCAACGTTTTGTTGAAAATTAATTATGTTTTAAAAGATTTATTAAATTGTTAACGTTCTACGAATGACTTTCATTAGTCAACATTTTTCATAATAACTTTGTATTAATTGATCAAACACATGGGGCCCTAAATTTAAAGGTAGCTTATACTGTGGAGTTTATTTAAAAAAAATTATTTTTACATTCATGTGAAATGCATTTTCTTCCCTATTAATAGTATGAAATGAACATCACGTTAAATATCAATATCAGTCGATATGGGAGAAAATATATAGTGATAATACTTTGAGAGTTTATTGAAGGTGATTTGTCTGAATCTGTGACTTCATCTCCATCATTTCAAAGCCACCACACAGATAAATCACACAGATTCATGAAGCTCTGTCCTCCTTTAACTCCAATAGATTCATTAAAGAAAGAAAAGCCCCATAATATGGAAGATTAACATGATCTTTGTTGGTTTTGTGTTAACATCAATTAAAATGAATCTTCTTGTTTATATTTAGCCATTATTTTCTCTTAATGAGGATTCATTTGTGTGATGCGGTCATAGTTTACAGTGATGGAATCAAACTGAAAGTGAAAGAATGAAAGTATCACTGCTGTGCATGCATAAGCTCATAAACAATGATTGTATTTGTCATTTTTTCACATTGTGAATGACCAATGGTGCCCCCTGGTGTTTGTTGACAGAGCAAAGGACCACGCAGCAGGGTCAGGTGTACTTCCTGCACACGCAGACGGGCGTCAGCACATGGCACGACCCCAGAGTGCCCAGGTACCTTACCTTTTTACACGTTCATTACTGTTCAAATTTTTTCACTTGTTTAACTTCTATTTTACACTGGATTTGTTTGCAAACCTTGTCCTAACCAAATGCAATGCATGAAGTCATTTTTAGTGACAAAATCAAAACATTAATGTGTTATATACAGCTATTGGTTTTTGACCAATCAGATATTATTATTAGTGAAAAATGCCTCAAAGCTCAGTGCTGTTAAATGGTTTGGACAAAAACTGAGAAGACGTGGACTTGGAAGCTCTATATGCGGGGACCGTTTAGCCAGTGTTTGTGTAGGCAAAGCTGCTTGTCATTTATCCGAGTGCATGAACGTGATTGAAAAAATGAGGGTGGGCTACGGGTTATTTTTCTAGTCTTTTCAGAGTTGACATTGAGCATTTTTGCAGTGCTGCACATTTTTTGCTCTATTAGTTTGATGATATTTGGCAGAAGCCTGAAAGCAACATCCCTGAAGTTTGTTTTGTCTAATTTTTTTACTTTGTCTTTTTGATCTTTGTATTGTCTGTTTTCTCACTTTGTTCTTGTTGTTTTTTTTGTCTTCCCCTCCACACGTTTACTCGAACTTCAGTCTGAGGAGCATGTTGAAATATATTTAAGCTATATGTTAGTGCTATTTTATGAATACTAGGCATTTTCATTTCCACTAATATCATTTCCACTATCAAATCATGATTATCATGATATAAATTATTTTCAAAATTTTCTTATTTATTTTACATTTTTATATTAAAAATATATAGTTTTTTCTTAATTTAAGTTATCTTAAAGACAAAGGTACAATCTATATAGAAAGAATTTAAAAATGTAAAAATGGTGAAAGTTTATTATGACTTATAATAAACTTTCAAAAATTTTTCACCACCAACTTCGACTTATACGACTTATATTTTTATTTAAATAATGCAAGCAGTGAATCCAATTTGATTTGTTGAATGAATATTTTCAAATGTGGATACATTTTATGTGTCCTACATATACAGTATAGAGAAAAGCAAAAAATAATAATTTTAATTAAATGATAACAAAAAATTATTTTATTAAAAATCACCTCTATAACATGAAACTTAGTATGTTGCTGAATCATCCAGCGAAAGAAGTAGAAATATATTCCAGATGTTTTTATGCACATTATGCTTCCCAAATGGCTCTATGACATTGTCTTTGAAATACTGTACTTAATGTAATGATATTATAACTATAGAATATAAGTAGTATTATAATTAACGTATCATAATAATTTATCATCTCAACAAGGAGAAAACTCCCGTTCTGTGTGCAAGAGCACATAAACGGCTTTAAAAAATCATAATATTAATAATATTATGATCATGTTAATTTAATGATTACAATAATCATAATATGTATAATTATATTCCTAATAATTCGTCTGTGCCTCTCTCTCTGCAGGGATCTCAGTAATGTGAATTGTGAGGAGCTGGGCCCATTGCCTCCAGGCTGGGAGATAAGAAACACAGCCACCGGACGAGTGTACTTTGTGGACCACAACAACCGGACCACACAATTCACAGACCCGCGTCTCTCCGCTAACCTGCACCTCGTCTTAAAGTGAGTCAGACTCAACCAGGCGCCATTTAACCTAGAAACCACTAGAGACAGGAACTAGCCGCACAATGTGCGTGACGCTGTGGTATTGCTGAAGTCTCATCCTGTCGTGTTTCACCTTTATTCCTACAGTCCCAGTCCGAATGGCTCCCGTGGTGCCGTTGAGGCTCAGAGCAGGTAAGGAATTAATTCGGACTCTCTGCAGTCGGAGCATTTTATCTCTGTTTTATCTGCGTGCAAGCTTGTGTGTGTCGTGTGAGCCAGAGGAATGCATTAATGGGGAGGGATCGAGTTTCTCTTTTCCTGTCCTGACAGATCAAAGGACGTGTCCCACATTCCGTCTTCCCACTTCATGTTCTTGCAGTAAGCAGAATATTCGGTGGGGTACAGGTGAAATCTCACAAGTCTGGGAATATCAGTTCACGTAGGAGCTCGCAAATGAAGCATTGCACCTGCATAGTATCTTTTCACAATGAGAAGCATCTACCTTTTAACCAGGATGTTTGAACTGGGATAGATCAATATGGCTTTTTCAATGAGCATTGCCAATATAAAAAAAAAAAAAAGGAAAATATGTACTGTAAAAACTTAGTGCTGTCAAACAATTGATTGTGAATCATCGCATCCAAAATTAAAAAAGTTTTTGTTTATATAATATATGTGTGTGTGATGTGTATATTTATGATGTATATGTAAATACACACACGCATGTATATACTTAAAAAATATGTATATGTGTATGTATATATTTTATATGTAAAGATAAATATTTTATATACAAATATAACATTTTTCTTAAATATGTACATGCATGTGTGTATTTACATACATAATATGTAATAATATACATAATAAATATACACAGTACACACACATAAATTATGTAAACGCAAACTTTTTTTTTGAATGTGATTAATTGTTTGACAGCCCTGTTTGAAATTCAAACCTCTGTTAATCGACCAAGCAGGCATAATTATCACTCAAAAAGTATAAAATAGAGTAAAACAAATAAAGATAAGGTACGAATTTAAAAGATAAACAAGGTAATACTTCAAAAGATAAAGTTTAAGATAACAAATAAGTCAGAGTAGTGAGAAAATATTACTCCTATAATCATTTAGCGTAATTTATGTATGAATTATCTATTAAATAATGTAAGCAGTGAAGCCAATTTTCTTTTATTTGGTGGATAACATTTAAAAAATATTAATATTATATTTTAAAAACACAGTACTTGAAAAGAATAATATTTGAAAAAAACTTGTACCACCAAAATCATTTTTATTGTTTTTTTTTATTTATAGATATATATATATTTGATATTTTTACATATTTACCAGGTTAAATTGAGTAACCTTAATAGTACTACATAACATGTATGACTCAGACATGCATGATATGTAAAAAAAAAAAAAAAGGAGGAAGAAAGAAAAACACAGTTACAAAAAAAATAATGTAAACATGCCTTTTTTCGTAGGTGGAAACAGTCTTCCATATAATGGAGCTAATCTTAAACTGACAAATAATGATCTATTGCTAGTTTTGATTAGCTGTTTGACAATAGTACTAGAGAGATTTAGTCATTTGATAATCCCTAATGAATATTTGTTTAGTAAGAGCTTGTAGCATTACAATTATGAGCATGTTTATGTTATGTTCATGACATTTAGGGCAACCAATTACCCTGTGAGAAAACACCCTAGCAGTCGCCATACGGTGTATATAGTAGTACAGTAAGAAACTGTTTTTAGTTGTTGTTTTTCACATAAAGGGAAGTCGTGGCCTAATGGTTAGAGAGTTGGACTCGTAACCATGGCTACTGCTTGCTCCGGGTGTGTGTTCACGGTGTGTGTGTGTGTTCACTGCTGTGTGTGTGCACTTTGGATGGGATAAATGCAGAGCACTAATTCCGAGTATGGGTCACCATACTTGGCCACATGTCACGTCACTTCACTTCACTCACTAAATATGACATTGTCCACCATTCACAGCAAGTCTGAAATGTACTGAAGCTTTAGGCCAGCACACACTTAATTATTTCCAAATTATCTCAATGAGCTATGAATGTATTGCAGATAATAGAGCAACAAAAGTGTGCAATATACCACAATATAGCTTAGAATAATTATAAACTAGACAGAACCACAATATGTTAATGACCTAGATTTTGATTTTATATCGCATTGCCATGTTTTCCACACTGAGATACCAGACCTCAGTGCGAGCAGATCATTTGCATTGAGACGTCATCCGTCAAGCGAACGAACTGTCAAGGCGTTCCTGGCGCTGCAGTAGTCTCACTTTTGGAGAAGGCATCAGACAGATTATGTGGATATCTGTCGAAACATCTGCCTTTTATCAGCGCAGAAGATCTCACCTCTCTGTCATCAGGCAAAAATCCTCTCTGCTGTGTGCTTTCCTCTCAACCTTGATGGGTTTATGATCTCACGCTCCGTGAGTAATTTTAAGTGCGTGCTGGGAGCTTCGGGTGGGCGGGTGATTGGGGCTGTGCGTGTGTGCATGCTTCAGTTGCTGTCGTCTTTTGATGGATCCACCCTCTTGATCCACATCCAGCATTTCAAGGATCACTAATGGTCACTAATGGCAAAAAAGTGATCCAAAAAAATGTGCTATCTGGGTGTTTCGGTAAATGACATGAAGCTTGTTATTCAAAAATATATAAAATATGCAGTTCTTACAGATTTTAACTGGAATACATGTCTTATTTAATAAAAATGTTATTCAGAAATATATTAAATATGCAATTCTTAGATATTAATTGGAATATGTCTTATTTAATAAAAATGAATTAAAAAATAGATGAAATATGCCATTCTTACAGATATTAACTGGAATACATGTCTTATTTAATAAAAATGTTATTCAGAAATATATTAAATATGCAATTCTTACAGATATTAACTGGAATACATGTCTTATTTAATAAAAATGTTATTCAGAAATATATTAAATATGCAATTCTTACAGATATTAACTGGAATATAAGTCTTATTTCATAAAAATTTTTTCAATTCAATTAATTTTGGTATTTTTTTGTGGTCCTTAAAGAACAAAAACCTAATCGTAATAGACATAATGACAGAATGATTCTATAATAACATACAAAAGTATCTTTAAAAGGCTTAAATTCTTGTAAAAATATATGTCCGGCACAAGTTATTTGGTATAATCTTTATTGTTCTTTATTTTTAAATAATGTAAGTGTGAAGCTAGATAAGAGTGAATAAAATAATAAAAAGAATATTTAATTTATTAATAAAATATTATTTATGAAATAATATTAAGATTTGAAAAACTTTTATCTACGTACATAAAAGTCATTGTCACATGACTGAAGCCATATGTTGTTCTATTTTATGATATTTTGCTCTTTTTTTACTAGGTCAAATGGATTAATGTTCATGATATTTGTAAAAATGATAATTATAACAAGAAAAAAGGAAATTAATTCAACTGTACCTTTAAATATAAGCTTAAAACTGTTTGTTTGTTTTTTTTATTAATGATTAACGTGTATATAAATGTATTCAAGGTGTATGAAGAATATTTATTGCTTATTTTCTTGATAGTTACTCTACTGCAGAAATTTTGCTGACATTTCTAAGAACTTGTTTTAAACTAAATTTCTCCTTTATATCTTCTCGGATATGCATATTTGTCATACCCATGCGTCAGAGTTAGGATAATGCACCTCAGGCTGTTTTTACAAAGCAGCAGTAAGAACCCATCTAGACTGATTGTGTTTACATTGATTCAGATTCAAACCAGATCTTAGAGCAGTTACTGTAAGCTCTTTAAACAGTGCATGAAGCAGGAAAACTGCAGGCAAAGAGAAGTGAGCTTCTGCGTGTCAAGGAAAGAGAACGGGAGGAAGGGAATATTTGAGGAATGTGGGTCACGTGCAGACGGAGAACGAGTGTAAGGAGCCGTGTCACATGAAGAAATATTAAAGAATGTGTCTCACTCCATCTTTATTTGTCTAGCACTGAAGGCTTTACTCATTTGTTTGCAGATGCTACATCGTTTGACATTGTGTAATTTAATGCAGTGACATTAAGTGTTCAGATTGAGCCGACTGTGTATTCAGCATTATATCAGTTCAGGACCGTGTTGGAGCTTGTGAAGTGAACTTGTGTCCTCACTTGATGTATTTGGAAGCTCTCTTTTTTGTCCGGTGCTGGCGTGACAGATACCTGTGAGTTGGCACTAAAAGGGCGACGCTGCTCTGGCATCGAGGTGAAGAAGGGGTCAGGCTGCAGTGTTTGTGTGCATGTTGACAGAACGTTTCATCTCGTTTTATTAGCCCCTTTCTCTTCTCCCCTCGCTCTTACTCCACAGTCGTCCCGGACAGCTGAAGGAGCAGGCTCAGTCTGTCATGTCTCCCGGAAATCTCCCCGAGGACCCTGAATGTCTCACGGTGCCCAAGTACAAGCGAGATCTGGTGCAGAAACTGAAAATCCTGCGACAGGAGCTGTCCCAGCAGCAGCCGCAGGCAGGACACTGCCGTATCGAGGTCTCGCGTGAGGAGATCTTTGAGGTGAGGCCCTGGATTGTTTTACCTGCAGGAGATTCATTTCAAATCTTTATTTATTAAAGAAATTCTTTTGTTTAGCAAGGATGCATTAAATTGATCCAGTGACAGTAAAGACATTTATAATGTTACAAAATATGTCTATTTTCAAATAAATGTTATTTTCCACTGTTGGAAAAACAAACAAAAAAATTGTTGCTGTTTGCTGTTTTCAAAATTGATGATAATCAAAAATGTTTCTTGAGCATCAAATCATCATATCAGACTGATTTCTGAAGGATCATGTGACACTGAAGCCTGGAGTAATGATGCTGAAAATTCAGCTTTGCTTCACAGGAATAAATTACATTTTCCAGTATATTCAAATAGAATACAGTTATTTTAAATTGTTAATCATATTTCACAATATTACGGTTTTTACTGTATTTTTGATCAAATAAATGCAGCCTTGGTGGCCATTTCACCATTTCGAGACACTTCTTTCAAAAACATTTTTTTTTTAATCTTACAGACCCTGTTGAAAAAAAACAGCATATGCTGGTTAGGTATGTTTTGAAGCATGGCTGCTGGTTTGAGCTGGTTTAAGTTGGTTCTTAGCTGGCCATGTGCTGGTCCTAAGCAACTAGCTCCTGCTCAGGACCAGCTTAGGACCAGCAGCACATGGCCAGCTAAGAACTAGCTTAAACCAGCTCAAACCAGCAGCCATACTTCAAAACATACCTAACCAGCATATGCTGGATTTTACAACAGGGGACACATAACTTTTTAGTTTAGTTTAGTTTAGTTTTAGTTTTGTTTTGTTTGCGTACTCCTCTCAACCAATCACAAAGCAGCAATATCCACATTGACTCTGTTGTTGTTTGAGGTTGTTAGTTTTACCAGTAACACCTGTCCGTCTGAATGAGCCTTTAATAGCGCTTAACAAGCCCAGAGGCCTGGTTAACCTTTACTGTGAGGGCCTTTGAGCTCTGCTGGATGTTACCCACAAGCCCTAATGCATCAGTCATGACATTAAACTTCATTAGCATGCTGAGTTCAGCTAACGCGTGTGACTTGTACTGCACACGTTTCTGAGCCTCATATCGGGCCTGTTGGAACAACATTTAGACCCCCCTTCTCTCTTTGCTCAGCTTGAAGTGATTTTTGGTCTGCGCGTCTGTTTGGTCATCTGTTTTAGGGTGTTTATGGGTGTTGAGCTGGATGCGCACAGACATTTCTGGATGCTGCATTCCAACATGCTGCGCTCTCTCCCCACAGACGAGCCTGACCGTAAACATCGGATTATATGAACGCTTCGCATGAGTTTGGGTTCTTTTGAATTTTTTAGCAAGATCATAAGATGACAGATCAACTGTAGTAAATTGACGCATCTCCAAGGGCTGGAAGCAGCGTAAATGGCTTAACTTAAGCAATGCAGATTTGTGTGTTGCATTTAACACAGTTGAAATGTATCTTGTGGAATCAAATCAAATGAAACTTGCTATCAAAGGATTTACAGAAAACAAAATCACGATCAGATGGGAAAAAATAGCAGGTGATTTGGATCAGTTTGTGTTTTCAATTAAGAAATTTGCCAGTCCATTTTATGTAGAGCAGTTTGAGCAGTTTCCATTTTAAACTATTTAACTAAAATAATTCCTATTTATTTGATTATAATATTTTTTTTCTCTGATTAGTTTTAGATACCATTCTTTAATATTATTGATATATTTTTAAGAATTTGTAATAATTTATGATTTTTTTTGTTTTGTGCATATACCAGGCTTATTATAGTCAACCAAAACTAAAAAAAAATATTTTGTTGCCTCAAACGTTAACAGAAATAAAACACTTAAACTTATTTTATTTCAGCTAGTTGCCAAGGAAACATTTTTATTTCGTTTAACTTGATGTTCTAAAATAATTAAAACCAATTAAAAATCAAATAATTAAAAACAATTATTAATAATCAAAATATAAAAAATAAAATACAAATATATAGACATTAAAATAGTTTAAATAAAATTACAAAAATGACAAGAACGCACCAAAATGACTAAAACTTAACAAAAAATAAAATAAAATAATAAAATAAAAACTAAAAAAAATACACTTGACGGTTATTTAAAGCTAAATAAGTCTGAAACTAGTTTGTCAAACTAGTTACTATGCCCTTAGTGTGAACTTGTCATCTTAATTGAATTGTGACCGTACGGATGACTTGCATTCTTATGACCTTCCTGTAATCTTTTTTACATTTCAACACCACATCTCCGCTGTTTCCTCAGGAATCATACCGGCAGGTGATGAAGATGAGGCCGAAGGACCTGTGGAAGAGGTTGATGGTCAAGTTCAGAGGAGAGGAAGGTCTCGACTATGGTGGAGTCGCTAGGTATGAGACACAAAACCTAAAGCTGAGCATGAAATCAGAATTGGCCCCGTTTTCTTAAGACATTTATTGTGAATGATTCATCTGTGAACATTATTCAACAGCAAAACACGTCTTTGTAATTTGGAGGAAAATGTACATTTCAATAATATGTAGCTTTCTCCACTTTCTTGAACCATCTGTTATCACTTTTCACAATTCAATCAATTGCCGAAGGATAAAATCAACTCCTGGCATACATTTTTGAATGATATCCTGTTTACGCTAATAAATGTATCACAATAGGGAAGTAAAGTGGGTTATGAATGCAGTTTCCTGCTGTCTTTTAACACTTGTGTGTCCATCTAGTGGTAGAACTAGAGTATAACAGTGTCAAAGTGGGCCATCATCGACTGAATGTCTGTCAATAATTTGTGCCGTTGCGTGTGTTTGTGTCATAGGGAGTGGTTGTACTTGCTGTCGCATGAGATGTTAAATCCATACTACGGACTGTTCCAGTATTCACGAGATGACATCTACACGCTACAGATCAACCCGGACTCTGCCGTCAATCCGGTAAGTGGACCTGGATCTTCCTCACGAGCTTCCCATTTACTCCGACAAATGCTAGTATGTTCCAAAAAACAAGAGGAATTTAAAATATTTGTTTATGTTTTTAGGAGCATTTGTCTTATTTCCACTTTGTGGGGAGGATTATGGGAATGGCTGTTTTCCACGGGCACTACATAGACGGAGGCTTCACTCTGCCCTTCTACAAGCAGTTGCTGGGGAAACCCATCACTCTGGACGACATGGAGTCAGTGGATCCAGATCTCCACAACAGCCTTGTCTGGATCCTGTCAGTGTGCTTTATACATCCATCTATAGCGCTGTATTATATACACACGAAATAACTGTAATACAGTTATTGCTCTGCCTGTATTTTCAGCAAAAGAGTGTCTGGAATGATAAATGATAATATGTCTATATTATAATAATAGCACTTTATTAGGGGTGTAACGGTACATGTATTCGTCCCGAACCGTCACGGTTCGGTTCATGCAGTCAGACGACGAATACAGTCAGTCATAGGCGATCAATCCAAATCCAATGCAACGCTAACCGTCACAACAGGAAAGAGCAGAAGAAGAGATGCATGCCGGCTATAAATCTGAACCGGTTTTTAGTTTTATTTTGGCCGATCTCTATTCCAGAATTGCACACAAACTGCATTGCAATCATTTCCCAAAATGTAATTTGTGTGGAATTTTTATGAGGTCTGTAAAAAAGAGAAAATACTGTATCAGGCAGATCAAGCTCACTGTTCGCGATGCTCAAAATATAGAAGGACAAATATGTGGGGGTTTATATGAATGTATCTCTGAGAGGAGCTGACCGTCTTCAATGGCATTTGCATATTAAAGTAGTTTTTATAAGAGCAGCTGCTTTGTTTACAGCGGTAACCAAGGAAACGCTGTATTTCTGCTGTTCCATAAGCGCCACCTGCTGTCAGAGAATAAATCTGCAGTTTCATTCAGTCCATCTGCTGTTTTTGTTTTGTGCAGGCGTCTTATGTAGCATAATTTCACAAATCTAAAGTCAGACCTTTCTGTTTTTGCTTTAAATCTTGAAATTATATAATCTAATTAAAATCAAAAACAACTGCTCATGCTACATGTATGTAGCACTACTGTCTTTTCAAAATAAATGAAATTTTTTTTTTATTATATATATAATTATTATTTCATTATCCATTCTTTTAATCTAATTTCATACATGGGGAAATTTTTTTCTTTTATTGAGAGTTGGTCCCACTTATTATTAGGTGTCTTTACTATGAACTAGCATCAGAAAAATGTAATCGTTTGGTAAAATATACTTAATGTGTTCATGTTGAAATGCAAAACACACTTTCTGCTTTCAACATGGGATTAAAGTGGATCCAGAGAGTTTATGCTGGCTTAGATATATAAATAGATGACAAAAAACAAACCTTAAAATTTCGTTTATATAGATGTTAAAGGAAAAGTATGTATTATTTTTACTTAAAGTATAACTGATATTTTAAATCATCAGTTTGAATCACATTTTGTCTTCATTAGATCACTCAAATTAGTCCTGCAATTAATGGAATCACGCAATTAGTATTAAAATAAATTAATTATATAATAAAATATAATATATATATATATATATAAAATGTTATTTTTTATTTTTTATTTTTTTTGGGATGCATAATTAATCTAATAATAATTTAATTTTTTTCTGTTGTCTGTGTTTAGAGATAATGACATCACTGGGGTGTTGGACCACACGTTCTGTGTCGAACACAATGCATACGGAGAGATCATTCAACACGAGCTCAAACCCAACGGCAAGAGCATCCCTGTCACCCAGGACACCAAGAAGGAGTATGTGAGGTGAGTGTGGACTTTGGCCTCTGAACACCTTCCTCCTCCCTGTCTAATGTGTCTCTGCAGATGTCATTAGGGCTGTTCAGAATGCAGGCAAATCTGATTTTTCTCATATCAGGTCTTTTCTGGCAGACTGTCAACACTATTGAAAGTGATCAAATCAGATTTGTGTGACATAACCAACCTCTCTGCATGGGTTGCTTTGGTAATGATGTAGGCGTACCCAAATATGTGATGAGGCTTTCAAAATGGATGCATAAAAAGTGGAGGTGCATCATCTCGCTCAAAAAAAATATTAGTAGAGTAGTATACAGTGTGATGTTCTGTTTTGTCATTTTTCTTTGAATACCGTACGAATGCTTCCGGCATTTCTGTGCCCAGTTTTGATGTTATCGTTGCGTGTCATGTTAAGAGTGATGCAAAAGATTATTTGAAATCCGATTTGAGCAGCCAGAGCATCCAGACTGAGAGGCATCTGTAAAAATCTGATTGGAATCACATTTCAAACTACCTTCAAATGTGGTTTGAATCAGATTTGAGGAAAAAAATCTAATTTGCATGTGTTTTTTTGCTGTCTAGACTTTCAAAAACCCATCTGGATAACATCTGGAAATGCAAAAAAAATCAGATTTTTTTTTCTGGCAGTCTGAACATAGCCTAAGTGTCTTGTTCGTGTTTTTGCGCAGGCTGTATGTGAACTGGCGGTTCCTGAGGGGCATCGAGGCTCAGTTCCTGGCCCTGCAGAAAGGCTTTAATGAGGTCATCCCACAGCACCTACTCAAGGCGTTTGATGAGAAAGAGTTGGAGGTATGAAAACTTACTTCAAGAAACATAAATCCACTTCAACCAGGCAATCGACTTGATTTCTTAGGCCCAATCCCAATTCTACCCCTTAGCCCTTCCCCTTTCCCCTACCCCTCCGTGTCGCGCATTCACGTGAAGGGGTAGGGGTGTCTCGATTCTCTTTTGGTTGGAGGGGTAGGGGTAAGGGGAAGGGCCAGATAGCCCTTCAAACAAAGATTTTTCAGGACCACACTTCAAACGATGGAGTATGAATTATCTCAGCGTAAACCGGCTTCAGCGGCAACATGGCTGCCTGCGTTTCTCTTTTTAGAGTGAGTTTACTTCAAAAACAGCGATTTTATCCTCTTGTTGCTGGAAAATATAATGTAGCGATTCAGTATTTAAACTGTTAATAAAAGTCGTGGGGCAGCGTTGACAAGTATCTTTGCTCCTGGATGTCTGAGCTGCGCGATCTCTGATATGTGTGTGTGTGTCAGTAAGCAGCGCATTAATATAGAACGATAATTAACGGCTGTAATGCTCACCAGCATAGGTGTGTGTATTGTAGGAGCTAGACGACGTATGATGACGTGTGACAGCATAGTAGTGGTAGGGAAGGGGAAGGGGTATAAAATAGAATTGGGATTGGGCCTTAGTCTTGATAAATGTGTAATAGGGCATATTTCATTTGCTATATCAGAGCATGGCTAATGATTCAAGTGTGTCTCAATTTCAGCTTATTGTGTGTGGACTCGGGAAGATCGACATCAACGACTGGAAGTCAAACACCCGTCTGAAGCACTGCACGCCTGACAGTAACATCGTGAAGTGGTTCTGGCGGGCCGTAGAGTCGTATGATGAGGAGAGGAGAGCCAGACTGCTGCAGTTTGTCACCGGCTCCTCCAGAGTCCCACTGCAAGGATTCAAAGCCCTGCAAGGTACCTGATGTCCTTTAGCATGAGTTTCTCATTCAGGATCTAGAAAGGATAATCATACATATATGTTTGCTCTGAAACGCTGTATGATCCAGGTGCTGCTGGACCACGTCTCTTCACCATCCATCAGATCGACGCCAGCACCAACAATCTGCCCAAAGCACACACTTGGTGAGCACATTTCTATAGACTAGTTATCAACCAATATGGGTTTTTCAAAGGACAGTTGCCAATATTTAGAGGGCAGTGTAGTCAACAGTCAGTATAATGCAATGCATATATATATATATATACAGGGTCTCCGCGGGTCCTTAAAAAGTCTTAAATAACGTTTTCCTAATATAAGGCCTTAAAAAGTCTTAATGTCTTAAATTCGGATTCGATGGGTCTTAAATATTTTTGGTTTCATTACCGCTAAAATATCTTCAGTCTGACGGACCTAATGACTGTTTACAATCATTGGACAGACCGAAGATTTTTTCTTCCCGCGGCAAGTTACTGCGTCATCAGAGAGAATTGCAGTAAGTTAGCAGAATACAGAATACAAGCTCGCGCTGAGGCTCACTCTGTTTGTCTCGAGACTTCAGAACAAATGAGCGTGACAGCACACATACACTCAGAAGAAACACACTGAGGTAAAAATAAAAAATGTTTAGTTTATTTATAACATGATATAGTTAAATAACATCATGACAAGTGAGCTATTTTGCTCAATATTCTCACGACGAAAAAAAAAAAACATTCAAAACACCTACAGAGTGCACGCATTATGTGAAGTCCAGCGCGCGTTTACAGTGCGCTCTGCCTGATCACTGCATGATTCAGTCTATTAAAATACATTCAGAATGATCACAAATTCAAGACAAGGGGGCAGAAAATGTGTATATTTATACCACTTCATATAGTTAATCAAGTTCACACTGAAGAGTGCCTTTTTTTCTCCAAAAATTACCTTTTTTTTTTTTTTACCATATTACCATTATTGTTATTTGCAGTGTAAATTATTTAATCTGACTGGTAGCAGCCCTATAGTGTATATTGAGTTTATTGATACATTTTAATAATTTGACATGTAAGATGATGATTACATCTAAAAAGGTAAAAAAAAATAGGCCTTTGTAAAGGTAAATATGCAGATTTATGTATGTAAAAGCTGATAGAACACTGATGAAAATTGTTTACTCCATATATATATATATATACACACACACATATATACACACACTGATATTGCACAATTTAATTAGAGGACTTAATTTTTGTGTATTTATATTTAAAATATTATACACTACCATTAAAATGTTAGAAGAAAATGAATACTTTTATTCAGCAAATTCATTATTTGCTGAATAAAATATATATATATATATATTAGTATAGATATGCACTTTTGTATTAATTTTTTTCATTTTATGATATTATTTCCGTTTATTAAATTACAGAAATATTTAAAATATTATTTACTCTTTTTGTAAAAGAAAAGAAACTATTACTTTTATTCAGCAAATGTACATTAAACTGTTTAAAAGTGACCATAGACACTTTTGTAGTGTTATAGAAGATTTCTGTTTTAATTAAATGCTATTCTTTTGAAATTTTTGTTCATAAAATAATGCTGAAAAACTCTGTTTTCACAAACATATTAAGAAGCACAACTGTTTTCAACATTAATAATAATACAAATGTTTCTTGAACACAAAATCAGCATATTATTATGATTTCTGAAGGATCATGTGACACTGAAGACTGGAGTAATGCCGCTTACATCTTAAAATGTATTAAAATAGAAAACTTCATTTAATTTTTTTGTAATAATATTTCACAATATTACTGGTTTGACTGTATTTTCATCAAATAAATGCAGCCTTGGTGAGCATAACAGATTTTTAACCAACCCCAATTTTTTTGAACGGTAGTGTATACATATTTTAAAACAGAAAAAGTGCATTATGTGCTAACAAAGCAGCAAGGAACAGCTAATGCTTGTGTTAAATGGTTACTAATATACTACTAATAATAAGATACAACAGTCAAATATTAGCCAATTAATCAGGCTATCACTAGTACAAACCATTTTCTGCACTAATTCACCACTATTCATTTCTTTCTAATTTCGCCTCAGCTTCAACCGTATCGACATTCCTCCGTACGAGGGCTACGACAAACTCTATGACAAGCTGCTGACGGCCATCGAGGAGACCTGCGGCTTCGCTGTGGAATGATCGTCCGCCGCCGGCGCTCGCAGAGGAACCTTTCTCCAGGCGGGACAGACCTGTCAGTCAGCCGGCAGACGTGTGGGCCTCACGAGGGGCTGAGGAAAGGGTGGATTATACCGCAGCACTCCACGCCTGATGCTGCTATACACATCTTTCTGCATTATTTGAAACGAAGAGAAGAAAACAACGTATCGTTTCAGCTGCTAGTAACTCTTTTACTTACTATTTTGGAACCTCCTCTTCCTCTTTTTGTTTTTAAGTCCATACGTAAAATTTTTAGCATTAAGACAGCATATTAACAGTATTTCATGTAGCATTTTCACAGACTAGACTTTAGGAGAGGCCGGACTTTAGAAGGGCACGCAGAACTAGAGCGCGCCGGCATGAGCTAACGCAGAAGCACTACTGTCCTTACCGAAGACTAGACGAGAGGAAGATGCAAACGTCAACAAAAGACTAAGTTTGTCATTTGGGACCTGCACAGGGTGCTGATCTTCGGCCCGCTCGGACCTTAGCAAGCCGCGAGATGAATTCCTTTCGATCAGGGAACTCGGCTCCACTGGCCTCTTCTGGGCTGCCCTACACCAGACACCATCTTGACTGCCTGTGCTCCATTCCTCAAGACTGGTGTCGTCTGCAGTCGGACTTATAAGCTTGTTGAAAGTGAACGAACGAATACATGAATTCTTTGGTAGGTAGGTAGGTAGGTAGTCTAGCTTTATTTTTATATGAGAGGCGTGAGAGGACGAGGTTAAAGGAGTAAAACTATACAGATATAATATATTGGCATGGTCGCAGGAACCGTTGCCGATGTTTCCAGAGCAAAAAATGAAGTTGAGCCCATTGAAATGGCTTCAGTGAGGCTGGCTTTGGCTTGCTTTGAATGTTCAAATTCCATCTTTTTTTTCTTTTTTTTTTTTTTAAATTGTGAAGAAAAACATTTTAATATGTTGCATTACTGGTGTCATCTTTTTGGTAAACTGTATTCTAATCTGTCTCCGATGTCAATCGAACCCTTTAATAGATTTAAATATGATGCATATGTATGAGCATGTTAATGAGATGTGAAGTGTCTTCCATTTCATACCTTCCCATTATATTGTTACCATTTATATTCTGGGCCTGTTTTTTATTAGAATTGTTATTATTTCCTAAAAGAAGAAATGCAACTGTTTACCCGTTCATGGAAATCAAGGGAGAGAAGTGTCCGTATTACTTGTTATTTTTGTAATTTATTAGTAACCCATTGTAGTACCAATTTACTGAATTTTTTTACCATCACAAATGTCACTGGCCTTCAGTGAGCGTTACAGACGAACTGAAAGGAGGATCGCTGTACTAAAGAACAAGAAACAATTCTATCTTTTATAGAAATACATCAGCTTTAGGTGTAAATCTAGCAGAAAACAATAAAAGCATGTCTCGTGTGCTCTTAGTAAGCCTCCGAAATGCACAGCTTGAAACCCTGTTCCTTCAGTGGCAAAAGAGTATCACAGTGCTTCACAATCCTTTTGTGACACCAAGGTGGGCTGTTAAGCATCATCTTGGAACAAAGGTGGCAGATGCCCCTATTAGAATAAGAAAGAATTTGTTCTCTCTCTCTCTTGAAAAGTGGGGGTAGGTGAAAATATTCCCCTTTTAACAAGTTTTCTAGGTGTCAGACTCAATTTGACCAAATCTAAAGACAGTATGGGAACTTTTCACTACGTAGAAGCTCCCATTACTTACTTAAATTAGCAGTCACAAGTTTGAACATTCATGCTATGTTTTTACTTTCTACACACATCTGAGTCATCAAAACTATGAAATAACACATGGAAAGTTTTAAAAGACCAAAAAAGCTTAAACGTATTTGAACTATGATATATTTTTTTTTACCGTCGAAGCGAATCATTTCGCTATCGTGTTTGTTGTGAGATTCAGTTTAATCGAGGGTGTTAGGGTATTAGGCGGATGAGTAGGTGCGTATCCGTTTACACGACAGAAATCGTGCGGGGAAAGGTGTGTCTGTTATTCTAACGTGTAAAACACTTCTTAAACGTCGAAAAAGTCACGTTTAATTGGAGTTCAACATAAATTTCGTCGATTTATGTCGTTTAAAGGCGTCGTCGGCCCACATGTGGCTGTGATGTTGTAAAATGCCGGCCGGGTTTTTCCTCTTTGTCTCCTGTCGGTAGGAAATAAAATGGCAGCGACGTTAAAACGTGGCGCAGACAAGAACTCCCGATGTGAATCGAAACCTGAGCTTTTGTCATCTATTATTCAGACCGTTTCAGTTTTGCTTAAGTGACCTTTTGTTGTTTTTGTTTGAGGTTGGGTACATTAGTACATGTGCCATGTTTTTTAGACCCGTTAAACCAATGATATGCGACATAGCTGTATGGTGTATTTATTCAAAATGTAATGACAATGCCATCCGACACGTTACTGTACAATGATGCTACCAATTTTTTGGTTTGTAAGTGTTCTACATATAATTTCTTTGTTTTTTGGGGGGGTTCTTTAATGTTGTTCCCATCAAACCTCTTAAATGGTGTGAATCACACTTGAAGTGCAGTGTTAGTACCGTGGCAATGCCGATATTATGGTACTTTTGACCTATATACACAGAAATGCTGGCCAACTAATTGTCATTGAGCCTCAACATTCTAAAATGTCTGGTTTATCTACTAATAGTTACAGCAGTGGTCCCCCACGCTTTGGAGGCAGCAGAGGTGGACCTCCTCAGGGCAAGAAGTTTGGGAATCCGGGTGAGCGTCTGCGGAAAAAGCACTGGAACCTGGATGAGCTCCCCAAGTTTGAGAAGAACTTCTACCAGGAGCATCCTGAAGTTGCTCGGAGGTCACCTGTAAGTATACTCTATGCAGTTGGGAGTGTGTGGGTTTTCTTTTTCTTGTCGTTTAGAATTTTTAAAGATGTTGTTTTTTTTTTGTTTTTTTTTATTGCAGCAAGATGTTGAACACTACAGGAGAAGCAAGGAGATCACAGTGAAGGGTCGAGACTGTCCCAGCATCCTGAAGTTGCTCGGAGGTCACCTGTAAGTATACTCTATGCAGTTGGGAGTGTGTGGGTTTTCTTTTTCTTGTCGTTTAGAATTTTTAAAGATGTTGTTTTTTTTTTTGTTTTTTTTTATTGCAGCAAGATGTTGAACACTACAGGAGAAGCAAGGAGATCACGGTGAAGGGTCGAGACTGTCCCAAACCCATTGTGAAGTTCCATGAAGCAAACTTTCCAAGTAGGTTAATCAGTGTTTTATTTTTAAATTGAATATTGAGCTCTGCAAGGTTAAACTATTTGTTTAATTTTTTTATTTTTATTGGTAGACTATGTGATGGATGTGATCAGTAAACAGAACTGGACTGATCCAACTCCCATCCAAGCTCAGGGGTGGCCAGTTGCACTGAGTGGCAAAGATATGGTTGGCATTGCACAGACCGGCTCTGGAAAAACGCTCTCGGTATGATGCTTTTCAACCATCCTGGTGTAAACTGTCTGGCTGTGACTCATTTGAACTGGTTTTAATGATATATATTTTTTTTTTTCTTCAGTATCTGCTTCCTGCTATTGTTCACATAAACCACCAACCATTCCTGGAGCGTGGAGACGGTCCCATTGTGAGTTCAACAACCTGTCAAATATATATCTCCATCTTTGTCTTAAAATCAGCGGTTTAATCAGATGGTTTTCATCCCTTTAGTGCTTGGTGTTGGCTCCCACCCGTGAATTGGCGCAGCAGGTCCAGCAGGTGGCGGCAGAGTACGGCAAAGCTTCTCGTCTCAAGTCCACCTGCATCTATGGAGGTGCTCCCAAAGGACCACAGATCCGGGACCTGGAAAGGGGTATGAGTGGAACAAAGCTCGAATCTTTGAAATGCTTTTTTTTT